CCAGATGCCTGGGTCCCCTTGGGTGGGGGTTCCTGGACATCTAGGTCCCCTTGGGTGGGAGGTTGAGAGGTTCCTGGACATCAGGGTCCTCTTGGGTGGAAGATTGGGGGGAACCTGGATGCTTGGATCGCCTTGGGGGTGAGATTGGGGGCACCCAGATGTTTGGATCCTTTCTGGGTGCTTGGGCGGGCACCCTGGGGGATGCTGGGGTGGGTGACGAGCCCCTCCCTGGATGCCTGGGTCCGCGGGACGTCAGGTCAGCAGGTGGCCATCAAGAAGATCCCCAACGCCTTTGACGTGGTGACCAACGCCAAGCGGACCCTGCGGGAGCTGAAGATCCTCAAGCACTTCAAGCACGACAACATCATCGGCATCAAGGACATCCTTAAGCCCACCGTCCCTTACGGCGAGTTCCGCTCCGTGTGCGTGGCCTGGACGCCTGAGTGTCCCCCCTGATCCCTGGGTCCATCAGGTGGTGGTGGCCCTCATGGGGACATCTCCATCCCCTCTTGGGTGCTCTTGTGGGGCACGAGAACGTGTAGGATGGAGCCCACTTGGCCAGCTGGGTCCATCAGGTGGCGGTGGTCCCCATAGGGACATTCCCAGCCCCTCCTGGACCCCTGGATCCTCTTGGGGGGCAGCAGGACACGTGGGATGGAGCCCACCTGGGCACCCGGGTTCACAGAGGGGTGGTGGTGCCCACGGGGATGTCTCCAGCCCCTCCCGGACGCCTGGGTCCCCCTTCCTGCCTGCAGCTACGTGGTGCTGGACCTGATGGAGAGCGACCTCCACCAGATCATCCACTCGGCACAACCGTTGACGCTGGAGCACGTCCGCTACTTCCTCTACCAGCTCCTGCGGGGCCTCAAGTACATCCACTCGGCCAACGTCCTCCACCGCGACCTAAAGCCAAGCAACCTCCTGGTGAATGAGAACTGCGAGCTGAAGATCGGCGATTTCGGCATGGCCCGGGGGCTGGGGGCTGACCCACGGCACGCCAAGGCCTTCCTCACCGAGTACGTGGCCACACGCTGGTACCGGGCACCAGAGCTGCTGCTCTCGCTCC